TTTTTAAAGTTTTTGGGGTTCCAAATTTTTGGGGGTTTTGGTTTTTTTTTTTTTTTTCAAATAATGGGGGTTTTTTTTTAAAAGGGGTTTTTTTCCTTATTTTGTTTTTTCCCTGGGGGGGAAAGGGGGGTTTTGGGGGTAAAGGGGGGGGAGAAGGGGGTCCTTTTTTCTGGGTTTAAAATTGGGGGGAAAAGCCCCGGGGGAGGGGGGGGGGGGGGACTTTGGGGGGGGGAACCTTTTTGTGGGCCCGGGGGTGGGGGTGGGGGGCAAAATTGTTTGGGGGGGTGTTTTGAGGGGAGGAAAAAAAATTAATTTTTTTGGTTTTTTTTCCCCCATTAAAATTTTTTTGTTTTTAAATAAGGCAAAGCCTTTTGCCGCATTTACCCGGGCGTTTTTTTGGCCTCGTTCCCCTGTTAAGAAAAAGGGGCCCCCGCCCCCCGGGGCGCCCCCCTTTTGAAAGGGGAGGGCCCAAAATGAAAAAAAGTTTTTGGGCCCCTTCCCCCGGGGGGGGGGGTTCCCAGTTTTTTTCCCCCCCCCCGTGTGGGCCCCCCCCCCCCCCCCCAGCTTGCTGCGGCCGAGGCAAAAACATGCCCCAATACGCCGCACGACCGGAAACCCGGGTACTCCCTCCTCGCGGCCAATCTGGATGTACAGGGGGGGGGTCATGTGGAGTCAGTGTCGCTTTAAAATGTTCTTTAATAAATTGCCTCAATTCTTGGCCGCCGTCCGTCCCTGTGCCTACAGCAGTCGTTAAAGACGCGCAGACGACATTGATCAAAAACAATTCTGGCCGCGGGGAAGCGTTTTTGGAGTTCCAGGGGACCCTATCTCATCATCCCCGAAGTCAACGGAGGCATGCTGCTGTACGCCAAACGATGCGCCTTGGCGAGACCAGTGGTGGCGCAAAAGGGCAAAAACCACAACGCTTGTTCAAACACTAAAAGATGATTTTTTTGTGAACGGTACTTGGCACCATGACACGTGAAAAATTTTGCGATTCAAACTATCGGCACACTGCGCATTACACTCCAGCACGATGGACTACTGCGACAGGGACGCATTCACGACACGCGACTGGCGTCCGCAAACCAGCGAGTGTTTCTGTAGCGCAGCAGCAGTGCGTGCGCGTCAACAAAGCTCTACCCCGTCCAAAAAATCGCGAACAAATACAATGTAGTTGGCCTACACCTTCCCTCTACGCTTGGCGTTAGAGTCTGAGTCTCGTGAGTGCAGTGCAAGAATGAGCAGCCCTCGAAAGGCGGCACGACGTCTCGCTGTACAGTGTAGTTAGTAGTGGGGGTCACCGAATAAGGTGGTCTTCCAACATAAGGCCGGTGAAATTGGCTGGCATATGTAGGCGGAATAGACTAATCGAGTTGCTCTACATTGAACAAAGCGTCTGCCCCATATAAGGCGTCACACCACCGGATATGTATTCGGGGACCTCCACTGCTGTACTCGCCATCCGTTAGGATACATTACTGCTGTAGCATGGTCCCAGCTTTTCCCATGCCCCATACCTCCATGCGTATGTACCACTGCTGATGCACTATTACATAACGCAGGCACGCAACTGCCGGAGTCCCAACTACTGCACGTACCGCTACCACTAATGTTGTGCCGCATTGAGTCTTAACGGCGTTGCCAAGTCTTGAGTGTGTCATGGTCATTCCCGAGGTGGTTAATGCATACGATCGGGACCACGTAAACTATTCGCAGTGCTGTTTCAAGATTAAGACATCTACAAGTATGTGTATGCATCTGTATCTCCCCTCGGAGAAAGAGTGAGAGGAAAGAAACACAACAAGCAGACTGTAGTGTATCGTCTTTGATACGAAACGTACTTTTCTGCTGTCAGTACTGTACCCTCTGACTGCGGGCTTTGGCGGGAAGTCGGTGACAAAGGGACAAAGCCCGAGGAAGCAGAATCGCTGCTGCTGCTGCTGCTGCTGCTGCTGCTGCTGCTGCTACAATACCTCTCGGCTCGTCCAGAGCCGCCCACGTGCGTGGGTCCAGAAAGCGTGACGAAAACAAGCACAGAGAGAGAGAGAGAGGACAGTTCACGCCAACACACAAGCAGCAAGCACCAGGTTGACTCACCTGGCAATCTCCGGTCAGATCTCCACTGCTATTATCTCTCCCCCAACGGCTGTGTGGAACTACAAGTAGCCCGTGCACAGCAGCAGTGCAGAGGTGTCGCCAGTCTAAATAGCTTGTTGCGTGTTTGTCTTGCAAGCTTGAAATACTTGCAGCTTGAAGCCCTTTGTCCATCATCCACCAGATCAGCTGTAAAAACCGAACAGCAACGGTAGAACCCCTGCCATTGCATCTTGACGTCATGCCGTCGCAGCGTCTGCCAAAGCCACAGTAACCATGGTACGTAACACACCATCGCACGGCTACCTCCAAGTGCCTGTAATCCTGCAACACCTTTCAAACCGTGGGTGCAAGGGCGGAGTAACTCCATCAAGATGTTCCGCTCCAACGCTGTACAACGCAATGCCTCTAGTTCTATGCATAGTAGCAAGTTCTGCAGAGTAGCAGTTGCTGACAAACCTTGTCTGCCCCTGCTAGATCCCCCGGGCCGCCTGCTGCTTGGCGACGGGCTGCGGCCCCTGTGAACCGAGCGTTTGTGTTCGAAACAAGGGAGGAAGAGAGCTGGTGACCATGATGACAAGAGCGCCGAAAAATAATGCGGTCGGTTGTCTTCGTAGAGTTTTATCTACCTTTTAGTACATTACATAAAGAAATGGTACAACGTATGTTTGCATACCATGCGCCATATGGTACACACCTCCCAACGTGTGTACAGCTAGCTGCATAGAATACAACGTTCCTACAAGGCAAAACGTTCCTATGATACCGTACTTCGAAGTACTCCACAGCAAGTCCACAGATAGAAAATGCTGACAAAATTCCAAATGACCTTGTGCAGACAGAGACCGAAATGCCACCAAACAGAGCGAGTGGGCCTTGACCATTTCTCCTCAATGATCGGCGACGATACGTAGTCCCTCCTAGATAAGCCTGGAGGCAACAGAACCGCCACTACAAATACGCACGTTCGTGTGTACGTCAGTCAGGCTATGCACTATGCACCGAGAGACCGCCCACGAAACGGTCGGAATGCCCGCACCTTTTGGGGGAACAGGGAGGTGTTTCGTTCAGCGCCTGCTGCTGTTGCTGCTGCACTAGCTTTGTCACGGGAGAGCGGCGACGGGATACAGGCGCTTGGCTGAACGCCTCGGCAAGTCCTTCCACCCTGTTGAGGGAGGTGTTCCGCTTGATCATGTAGACGTGCCCCTCCGACGAGCGGTCGTTTTGTGGTGCCAACGGGAGATCCGATTAAAAATAATGGTCGCTCATGAGATTACCCACGCCCGGGGATAGTTGCACATCATCCCCGGGTGTTCATCGCCCGAATTACGGTTCTCTCGGGCCGTTCAGTTGCCAGCAGAGCTGTTGGGGCTAGGGGCTAGTCAGGCAGAGGACGAGGGACGAGGGGACGAGGGGGGGTCTAGGGGGGACGACATTTGACAGAAGCCACTTTTGCGTCTCCATTCCTCTGTGAGCGTTCGGAGCTACAGTAGCTCTCAGCGCCTCCGAGAGTCAGCAATTCCCCAAGTCCACAGCACACGTTTTTTTTTTGTCTTGATACCTCAAAGAACCGACGGAATGACGGAATGGAGAGTCTGCTTGCCCCCTTCGCCAAACTGAGACGCACACATTAACATTTACATTCCATTCTGTTCCGTCTTCCGATGACATAATAGTCGGATACACACACACACAAATATCAGCACAGGCCTAAAAACCAGTGCGAGGTACAATACTTCATATGTTTGGCGTAATAATGCAGTAAGGTTGACAGACGCTGGACGTTGTTGAGGCATCCGTTATCCCTCCGTGATATGTAGAGACTTTGTGGTGGCCCACAGCTGGTCCCACGTGTTACGCCTAATCAACCCTCGGCGCTCCCTCGTCTGCGTTATTGTATGAAGCTGCCCTTTAACAATAAAACCTTATCCTACCGCACAAAACCTGTTTTCGTGTCAACCAACAGCCGATCGGATGCGTGGGAGATGTTCTCCACGAAAAAGCCGAGCGAACTAGAACCAGGATGAGAGGACGAAAGCACCCGCTCGTGCAAATAGTCAATCAGCTCCATCCGACCGACATCCAATCGCTTAACTACGAAGTCAAAAGTGCTGCCGATGCGGCAGCTGCAGCCGTCGCCACACGGTCTGCAAGAGAAAGCGACGCGCACAAAGCTACCGCATCCTCCGGAAAACCTCTAAATGCTGCCTGCGCGCTTTGAAAAATGTAAAGTGTCGATGAAACGCCGCCTGTGTTTTGTTTATGCACCGGCGGAGGCGTGAAGAAGGGAGGGGGTGCTCTACCACAAATAAATACACGACCATCACCTCGAAACCTCCAAAAGTGCGTGATACCCGACTTCCTGAAATTCCTACGCGTACGCCCCCCCCGGCAGGACACAACAGGGAACCACAATACCACATCCGACTCAAATCAGCAGCCCTGCTGCGAACGCTACACGATCATCGCGCAACAATGATGGTAGTTGGGATCGATCCTTACCGACCCATGAGGAAGCGTTTAGCGGCAATCCCTTCACCACTTGCCGAGGGACACAGCGGGCGGGACCCAAGACAATAAAAAAAACTCTGCCGCTTTCAACCTTGAAAAAAAAATATCAAAATTCTACAGGGCCTACAATTTCGTGGCGTTGTCTCTGCCAATCCATGGCAGCCTGGACAAGGGGGGCAAACCCTTCCTGACTGTCATCCTCAAAAGGTTTGGGAAAGCGGGGTGGATATGCTGCTAGACAAGTGGAACAGGAAAACCTCTCAACGCCCCGCTTGTGCAACCCCTTCTCCAAACACCAGGACCACGACAGTGCGCGTCGTATAGTGCTAGGGTAGGTTTCTTCCTCGCCCGTAACACTAAGCTGCGCGCGCTTGAAGTTCCTCTCATCTTGATAAACAATGGGAGTCTACGACACGCCCGACTCAGAAGGCATCCACGCGCAACCTCAATGGACGCGCGTGGAGAATTGAACGTATGTGGGAGCTTCCACCCTTTCAGCTGTACATGATCTTGAGAAACTGTCGTCCGCGTATCCCCCAACAGTTTGCAAACACAAGAAAGACACGGAAATGGAGGAGTACGACGTAAACCGAGATGAGGCGAAGATACAATTTTGGGAAAATGATGGCGACCACAGCAGCAGCAGTCCGGAAATCGGCAACTGGAGCTCTTGTAGCGCCGAAAAAGCACTGGCGCTTTTTGTTATCATCAAGAACGGTGTGCATGGTACACAACGTCTTGCAAACCTCACACACCGGCACCTCAGCACAACAGTATAACTAAAAGTGTGAGTCATCGCGCACAATCGAGCTTTGAAAGTCGGAGGTATACGATCTATAGCACTTTTGTTGTGGTAGTAGCCCAGCTGTGAGCACGGAGCACTGCCCTCAGCCCATATACGCTGTCAATCGCCCCCGTGCACAATTGATACATGAGAGAGATGCTTTGAGGAGGTCCCACATGAGAGAGATGCTCATTGCGAAGTCCCAACTAAGGTGCGAATCACCCCCTTCCACTAGGATACATGCGAGAACTGCGAGTGGATCATCGCTAACCTCGACGGTAGGGGGGGGAACAACGGTCACGACCACCGTCTGAGGCGTTTCAGGTGATGAATATTGTTTCGTTCCAGACGACATCGTGCAAACTAAGGTGCGCATCACCCCCTTCCACTAGGATACATGCGAGAGATGCGAGTGGATCATCGCTAAGCTCGACGGTAGGGGGTGGAACAACGGTCACGACCACCGTCTGAGGCGTCTTAAGTGATCGATATTGTTTCGTTCCAGACGACATCGTGCATACGGCTTGGTCAATTTCCAAGCTCGACTATATTGCCCTCTCGCCAACTGCATGGCGTACCCGAACCAGATCCAGTTTAACCCCATCAACAATCCTCCAAAACAAACTTAAACCAAGAAAAAGAAGCAGTCGCTCACAAAATCACTTGCCTCGTTGATGTCCACCTGGCCATCTCCGTCCACATCCGCCTCTTGCACCAGCAGGTTGATCTCCGAGTCCGTCAGTTTCGCCCCCAACTGTCGCATGATGTTCCCGAGTTCCTTGGTGTCGATCGCCCCTGACCCATCTTGGTCGAAAAACTGTCGACGGGGTTGCCGATGGAAATGTCGCAAGGATGACGTCACAAGACAACGCCAGCACCGGGATTCGGCAAGATGGATACGTGCGACCAATCAAGCACATTGTGTTTTCTCGTCTGTTGTTGTTCGGTTCGATGTACTCTAGGATGCATCGTTGCGGAATCGACCTTTGAAATACTCCAAAAAACATGCGGTCGTGTGTAACACGTAAGTACTGCTGCCATTTGTTCGTGGCCCACCTTGAAAGCTTCCCTGATTTGCCTATCAAAGTCTGTGTCGACCTTGCACTTGCGCATCATCGTCACAAACTCGGCGAAGTTGATGAGCCCGTTCCCGTCCAGGTCCACCTGTAGCGCCGCCGGCCGGCCGCCAATCCGCCAGGCACAAAAAATGCGAAGGCACATGTACATGCGGTATCTCCTTGAGACACATCGGAACATTGGAACGCACCGAACGGCATCGGAACGCCCTAAAGCGCACACAGAATACAGAACCAAACGGACCAGCAACAATACGGTTCTCGGACTCGAAACACGATAGAAACATGAGGAGACTGACCTCTCTCCGTAGAACGCGAGAACACATTCATCGGGTGCTCCGCTACCCACGCCTGCTACCCCAATGGGGTCTTCAAATTTGTTCCCAAAGGAGCCGGGGGTCGAACGGCGAGCACACCGCCCCGAGTGCGTGGGCCAAGCTAACATAGCCCCCCATACGCTCAAGCCTTCAAGGCCGACAGCAGATTTCGCGTTTACGACTTGTGGACGCTTCGCGAACTCCAAAAAATAACAAGAAAGAAAAAAGAACCACTGCTTACCTTCGCCATCATGTCCTCTAGCTGCTTGTTGGTGGGGCTGTATCCGAGCGAGGTCATGACGGTCCGCAGTTCGTCCAGGTCGATTTCGCCGCTACCATCCTGCCAGGATAGTCGTTTCGCTTTGTTAACACTTGATGTTGTTATTTGTGCGACAAATTGCTTCCCGAGCAACCACGTACTACCAACCCCGTGCAGGTTTCAGGGTAAATTTAGGAGCGTGTGCCACATGGCCAGTCAGGTAGGGAGGGGCCGGGCACATAGCTGTTGCACACATAACTACTCCGCCAAACAGCAGCACGCATCTGCGCATCATCCAGTCGTACTATCTCCGGCCCTGCATACGGTGGCGTTGCTTGCGCGACTAAAAAAAAAATGAACACCCGCCTCCACGACAATCTGTAAGAACGACATGTTCACATTTTCCCTCCAGCCGTGTAAACAGTGAAAATTCAGCCAACCAAAACACCCCGCATCCAACTCACTCAAAAAAGACAAGTTAGTGGAGATGATGGCTCTACAGGTTTGACTTGGCCGCGACAACTACTGGGTTTGAGATGTGGTTCGACATTGACTGCCCGCTCTGGAGGTGAAAAATACTTTTGTTGATGGTCAGCACGATGACGCACGGTTCGTAAGAAGCCAAGTTAAGATTCGCACGCCACCAACAAACCAATTTCGGCTGTTTTTCGTTGTCAGCACCCGTGGCATCGCACAGCAGTACATCTCGGTTGCGTTACAAGCCTTTGCTTTGCCAGTGTGTCACGTGCGGCTTTGCTAACCTTCTCAGACGATACCGAGACAAACATCATTGGTGGAGGCGACGAACTCCTTTTCATCGGATGTGAGATCGTTCAAAACGAATGCATACCCTTACTTCAAGCGGAAGAAGAGAGCAGAAACTTCGGGCGAAGACGACTTGACTCAGTCGCGTCCCACAATTTCTTGTCTGGATCGCATCAAACCGCGACCAATCCACATGCGCCCGGAATATCACAAAACAGCAAGGCCCGATGGCAGCGTTGAAGGTTTGACCTCGGTACGGTGACTACGGCACGAGTTGTGCACAACTGTCGTCGCTACCCGCTTGATGTTGGGACCGTCGGACAAATTTCGTTCCTCCGTGCGCAAGAGATCGTGGGACATGGCCGACGTTAGTGGTGGTGAGACATTGATGTTCGGGGAGGGGGGGGCGAAGTCATTTGCGAGCACGCCATGCTCAGTTGCATCCGTGGACCAAGTGACTTTTCTTGTGATGGGACAATGCTCACGCCGCTCTACTCTACCTCGTCCCGCCTTTGGGTCCGTGTATCGACTATTGGTGTTTTGGTTTCGCGAGAGGTTCAACGTTCATCATACATACTGCTGTGACTTACACCACCAACACACGCACCCAACGCACGTTTTGTACACACACCACAGCGGCGAATAACGCATGGTACACACACATACACGTAGCATACACAGACCGACACGTCCCGACCGATGCCTCCGTCCAACAAAATCTGGTCATCGCTTGCGCCATCATCTGCCCCCCCCCCCCCCCCCCGGTTTTTCGGGAAGAACCGGGGGTTTTTTAAATTTTAAAAATGGTTTTAATTTTTTTGTTTTGGAATGGTGGGGGGGGTGTTTAGGGCGGGGGGGCCCGGGCAAAATTCTTTTCTTGGGGAAAAATTCCCCCCCCGGAAAAGGGGGGGGAAAAAAAAAAAACAAAAAAAAATTTTGGGCCAAGGGGCGAAAACCTTGGGGGGGCCTTTTTTGGAAAGAAAAACTAAAGGGTAAAGGGGTTATGAAAAACTTTTTTTCGGGTGAATTACTGTTAAAAAACCCGGGAAAAAAAAAAAAAAAAAAATTTTGTTGGTGTAATTCTTTTTTCCAAGGAAGGGGTGGCGAAAATGAAGCTTTTTTTTTTTTTTGGGGGGGGTGGGTTTTCTAAATCCTAAGAAAGGAGGTTTTTCAAAAAAAAAAAACTTTGATTTTGGGGGCAATTTTCCTCCCCTTTCATTGGAAGCGGGAAG